CAATAGGGAGATTTCGCAACCTTACGATAACGATTACGAATACGTCATCGTTATCGTCGTTCGTGCCTAAAACATTCTTCTTGACAATATTCTGTACGTGCTGAATATGATCTTTGATTCATGCAAGAGGCATGAATCGTTTACGTTATGACAGATACTGCAGGGGAAAGGTTGTTTACGAAATTGATGACGTAACCGTATTCGTTATCGTTTTCGTAAGCTTGCGAAAACTCCCTATTTTGTGTTTGTGGGACGTACGCATGTCCGTCTTTGGCCGTGTTCTGATTGGTTCAGTTGTAAAATATTGTCATGGCCTTGATTTTAGACAGGTATGGGTGCTACATCCATGTTTTCACTGTTTAATCTTGACCCACTTCGTCAACTTCTTGGTAACAAAATTCAGTAAATGGAATATTTTTGTTGAAATTATAAGCCACATTGTTTGAACTTGTATAACATCTGTGTGAAATATAAAAATAGTCCCACAGCATGGAGGGTTGATTGATGATGGTTGGCTCTCGTATTCTTTGGTGTCATAATAATTTATCGGTAATCTGACAAAGTCATGTTATCCAAGACAGGCATACCACAATACTCGTGGAATAATCATCGTCTTTAAACGTTGAAGTATGTAAGCCTATGTGTACTTGCTTAATGCATAGCATCTGTAGCATTTTTCTCCATTTCCGTAACCTGAATTTGTGCCAAATTTCCGTTCAACTGCGGAAATTCCGAGAACTCGTATGCCTATAAGTCTTTTTTTGCACAGTTTGTTAATTCTGGCTTTTTTTTCAAAGACCTTCACAAAAATGACATTTCTTGTTGGGAAAAGGGGAAAGTCCCTGATTGTTGGTCTTTCGAGGGAACGTCACGTTCCTTAATTTCTGTCCAACTTTTTATAAATCGCAACTTTTGGGCTTTCAAAAATCCAGCGGATGGGGCGCTGTTTTCACGATTTAAATATTTTTTGTAGGGTTCTGACAAATACGACTACAACGTATAAAAGTCTAGCCATTTATGTCATTGAATAATCGGTAAAAATATGCCTACAAATTCTATAGACATGCATTGTGCAGTCAATGGTTAACGGTTTTAAATTTATAAAGCGCAAACTACAAGTACAGAGATGTTTGAAAATGTCAACGAATAAAAAAATAAAGATGAAAGTTCCAAGCTAAGCCCGCAGTTCACTTATTACACAGGCGGAGAAAAACATATAGGTAGGCCTCCAGCCAAGAAACCTGTTTAGCAAAATGTTATAACAGGAATTGGAAGATAGCCCGTAAGTTGTTCTAGTTACTTTTATCTTGTTCAAGTATGTTGTAATAAATGTCTGATCCGGTACGTGAATAAATTAACAGCTCTAAGTGACCGACACATTTACAGACACGCGACGTCAACACACGTCCCCTAACACGCTTCTGAATTTCTTAAGAAATGTGACGTCAGTGATACGTCATTAAAATGCGTCTCTTGTTTTTAAATTATACGTCTAGTCTTTTAAGTGATTTTCCGATTGTGACGTAATGATTAGTACTATTTAAAGTTCATCTTGATTGCTTGAGCCTGCCCACGGGCTCATTACCAAATCATGATGATGTAATATGTTGAATTACTGCATTTTTCCAGATTCAGTAGTCGTCATGAATAAGCCTACGTCATATCCTGCTGCTGGAATACGGAATCTCATTAGCCAAGGAGGCGTTATTGAGCACTCTATTCTGCCGTGTCCCCAATGTTTACTCTCAATAATAATCTTAATCGTTATAATAATACACCCGTCGCGATCAGTGTCTGTAACCAGTTCACTTGATTCTGTCAATCGGTAAACAATCGGAAATCAAATTACCCAACCAATCAATGAAACCATATATAACACAAAAAAAATGTTTATTTCAATAATAATAAGTACATGCAATAATAGGTTTAAATTGCCTTGGTGTGGCTCACACGTTCATAAATGATGTAGGAGAGCACAGCGCCAGAGTGCAGTGTCGGGTGGTTGACCGACAGAATGTGAAATCATTCCTAAGTGAGTGTAAATTAAAATGAATATCCCTTAAGACTACATTGTTATAATCTGCACCATATTCATAACATTAAACGACGTGTATCCGCTTTTTATTAGGCCTCTGTGTGTCTGCGTCTACTGCGAAACCTCAAGCCCCTTCCAAATTTGTGCCGTTACTGGGGGAAGGACTGATATGATCTCACATAGGCCTATAGGGGATGAATTTTGTGTCCGGAAAAACGTATGTATTGTGTTACGTTGAGTTGTACTACTAATTAATATAGGTCTATTATTTTCATGGTATTCCTCACTGTCTTTAGCACTCACTTCCGATCCTGTCCTTGAGATGGTTGTTCCCAAGTTGCTAGTGGGATTTTAAGTAGGTCTCCAAAGATCGGATCCGGATGCGGGTTGTTGGCAAGTGGATAATTATGAAAAGATTTGTTATCCTTATTATTACGGATCGATTATGTATCAAAAATTCTCTTCACGTAGGCTATAGCTAGGCCTCTATAGCTTGTCAAGTCATCAGTTAATTAAAAAAAGGAATAAAATATGCACGGAAGCCGAATTAAAGTATATAATGTGTTTTAAGCAGGGGGATAGGTCCGACAGTTTAGAGCTTATGAAGGCAGCATGAATATTTCCGGTAAGCCCCGCCCCTTGGAGATTGTTGCTAAAGGTCTCACAAAACATTCGAAAACACGTACGTTTATTTGTGGGACAACACGTGTGTTTATGAGACGTACACGCGCGTAATTCCTGGCCCTGTTCTGATTGGTTAGTTCCGGAGAGGTCCAGGGACAACACTACTTTAGGGGGGTCCGGGGCATCCCCTGGGAAATTCGTTTTCTAGACGCCTGAAAATAACCTACGAGACGTAATCAAGATATTCATGCTGGGTAATAAGTTTAACGTTTACGGTACGTCATCTGTCGAAAAATTCCCGATACCGTACTTGGGATTACGTCAAAAACACAAGGTTGACGTAAACTTTTAACGTTAAAGTTAAACTCGTTTTTCAACATCAACTATGATAATACTTTGTTGTGTAAAAATGATGTTGCAGTAGCATAAGGGGAAAGGGTGGGAATAAAAAAAAAAAAAAAAAAAAAAACTTGCACCCCAGGTTCTTCCACCCTACACTAGACATTTTCCGAGCAACTTTTAAAAACAGACACACCAGATCCCTGGAAATGGCACTCTCTCACTGGGATGTTAAAGTACGTTTCCAACTGAGTGTTTTCAACAGAATGACATCCCCCGAGAGCTGCTCCCCGGAACGGCCGCTGGTCGTTGACGTCGCCAATGGCTATAGAAAATGCATCATCAGCGGCCCCTCACTTAATCTTTTATCCCCCATCAGTGTCCCCTTCCCATGTCAATACTCTACGCCACTACTGTAGATACAGTGAGTCTCACTCAGAAAAAGCCACTCTTGAATGCCATAGTGGGTGTCGTATTACAGAAATCTTCATATATAAGTACAAAAATCGACCTGAAGAATTGTTTATTAGCATGCAATGAGCGGGAGGCAGAATTCAAATCTTCGGCGGGCCGGAGTTGACCCGCGGGTGGGGTAGAGGTGGGGGAGGGGGGCGTTGAATATCAGGGCTCTACGGGTTCCACAAACACGCAAAAAAAAAATATTAGGCTTATATTATTATTTTTTATTTATTTGTATTTTGTTTATGTCTACATAAGATCACCGGGACAACGTTCATATCCACAATACAAATTCAAAATATTGAGGTACGGCTGAGACAACCAGTTGTCGTAGGGTACGGTAACTTTCTGAATGTATTGACAAAAACAATAGGGGAAATCCACGGCAAGCTAGTCCGCCCCTGATTACTGATTTATGCTGTTAAACTGTATGTTTACATACGTGTAAGAATGATGATGAATATTCAAATGCGCACCCGTACACTTCAGATGTGAACTATTTGCACTCTGTAATTGCTGTAACATTAGCATATCGTGATTATTATACAGTAATTATATTTATGGTGATTCTTATGACGATTGTGATAATGATTAGTATTATATCATCAATATCACTCCGTATTATCAGGCCTAAACAAATTTGTTTGACCTTCAGGCCTAATGCTGAAAATTGTATAGAAGGGGCGGGCGGCGCAAAAAAGTTTTTAGTTTTTTTTCTCCTGTCACCAATAATAATAAATAATAATATTAATATATCAAATCGCAATTCTTGCAATTAAGCCTGTCTCACTATTTGTTTTTCAAAGATATTCATCAGACTGAATAAAAATAACCCATAGGGCCTAAATATTTTGCAATTTTAGGCCTAGAATGGCGATATCTTACATTAGACACCAAATTTAGACAACTTTCATGCGCAAAATGGAGAAAGATAAAGATCACTTTCTTTAATTTGTGAACAAAACA